AAATGTATAAAATGTTCAAATTTGTTGTAAAAGTTTTGTCTATTAACTGACTAAAATTGCCTGCAAAATATTTTTGAAAAAAATTGGAAAGACGTTAATTTGATTGTTGCTACCTGAAAACAGTGATACTATAAATTTCAGTAGTTTTTAAATTTAGAAACTTTTGTAAAGTATATTAATAAATTGTATAAAAACATAAACAAAAGGAGAAAAGTGGTTCAATTCTAAAAAAAATTACTTTTTTAATCAAAAATAAATCACAGATATTGTTAAAAATTTGGGCAATGAAAAAACAGCTAAAACTGTTCTTACGCTGCCGCTGTTTTTTTTATTTTGTCAAATGTGTCAATTTCGCCATATAAAAGCGTTTTTTTTTTCCCTTTTGATAGTCAAAGCTCAAAGAACAACGATTCAATCCAATCAGCGAAATCATTGCAGTAACAGTCACTGAATGCTTCACAAAATACCAGACAGGTACGAGGTTATAGCAGAAGTTAAAATTTGAAAAACTGAATGCATATATAATAAATATGATATTGAAAATGCATAATATTAATGGCGAAAAAATGAAAAAAAAGAAGATTAGAAAAAAGATTTGTAAAAAATTGCTTAAAGCTTTTTTTTTTTGAATGTCATAGCTAAATTCTCTCTTTTTTCTTTGAAAAAAAAAAAAAATGCCGCATTTTAAACTATTTTTTTTTTTTTGGATTTCTACTGACAAATTTGGAAAAAAAAAAGAAGAAAAGGATTAAAGCGGGCGGCCTGATACAGTATGTAAACGTTTTTTGTCTGCTGGATCATGGAAAAGCGTCAAAAAAAAAGCATGAGAATTTGTGCAGATGGGAGAACATATGCCCATGACAACGAACACACAAATTTTCCATCCGCTAATTGTCAGATTCATGCCACTATATGCTAATAATAAAGCTGTTCAGAAAAAAAAATTTTTTTTTTTTTGTTTCTGGCCTAATATTTTGTGAAAATAAAGATAAAAGTGGCGATGACGATAGTGAGTATGCTGATGTTACTAGAAAAATGAATTACATTTTGTAAATTAATTCGTTTTCAGCCTCCACTCTGCAAAAAATCTTCCACTTAACGCTCCCACATTCCATGAACATCAAGGAACTTATTTTTAGCCATCAAAGATTAATATAACAACCAAATAAAAGCGTCCAATTTTTTTAGCTGCAGTAATAAATGTACATTAGTGCTTGAACAAATGGTTTTCAAGCACTCCGCCAACCGATGCCAATAAACGATTTTGGTGGACATTTGAGAAAGCCAAATCTGTTTGAGTTGTCCAGCTACGTAATTGCCGTCTTTAATCCTGATTATTGAATAAGATCTGTTTAAATGGCCGGCTAAGGTGTAGCAATTTAGGTTTAATAATAATAATAAATAAATAAATAAATAAATATATATATATATATA